TTTTCTCTCATTGCTTAGGTAAAACAGTTGCTCTATTTTCGAACACTGATTTCCCTTGAGACTAACGACTTTTGGTTGGTTTCTGGTGTGGTGGACCGGCTTAGTGTGCGAGCTGTCGGTAGATTCCGTCATACTCTACCTCGCCAACTCCCTCTCCCTTCATCAAAGCCCTCTTCCCACCCGCCTCTCTCTCTCTCTCTCTCTCTCTCTCTCTCTCTCTCTCTCTCTCTCTCTCTCTCTCTCTCTCTCTCTCTCTCTTCATTAAAAATAGCCTTACGTTATTAGCTACGACACCTCACCATTTCAGCTTACTTCGTCTTTCGAAGAGCCGATTCACGAGAATGTCGTGGGTGCCGTTTAAAATAAAAACGTGGAGGCAGGTAGGGCGTGGCAATGCCAACTCCTTCAGTCCTCCACAACACCTAGCTGTTGCATTATTCAACTTTGTAACAACATAATTCATGTTCTGTTCAACCTAGAAGAGGAACTCTTCACATGCGCAAAATACACATATAATTTGTTTAAAGCAGCGCAGAAGTTTGTTGTCCTGAGTTCAAATAGGATTCTTTTAAAGTGGATTTCTTTTCTCAGAACGGGTTCTCGAGCATGCACATTGTACAGCAAAAAAATCCACTGCACAGTAAAAGCAGGATCTTGGCCGGATTGGGTTCTCACGTGGGGAGTTAAGAGAACCCTAGTTGTAGTCTGCTCCCTCTTTCCTATCAACAATCGGTCGTCCTTCTCCCTATGCTTCTCACAGTTAGCTCAGTTGGTATCATACTAGGACGCGGTGTGGATATCCTGGTTTCGAAGTTTCATGAGACCGTTCTCCAGAAATTAATTCTAGTCCATACCTCAGATAAAGAGAAAACTAGGTGAAGCGAGGACTGGCAGCTATAGGCTGAATACTAATGGCGGAATTAGTCTGAGCTCAGTTTCCAAAACTTAGACAAACAAACGACTTGAATCTCACAAGCGTTTTTGTGTTCACTAATTCAAGTACAAAACTGAATAATTTCATAATTATGTATAGTCATCTGCGATTGTCAAGCCGAGGAGATAACAATAGCCACCACTGGAATTACTTTTTCCAGGGACACACACAAATCTAATCCAAAGGTATTGTTAATATGTCAGATCAATATGAGCAGCCTATTCAGAGAGAGCAGTGTGATGGAAAAAGTAAGTGCAAAATAGTCACCGAACTAAGTCCCTGTTGGCCTGCTAGGTCGTACCCGAGTAAACAACATAGGCCTTTCATTCATTCATCTTCCC